TTTTTGATCCAGCGAAGCGTACACCCATCCAAGCCATAGGCAGCAAGCTTCTGCAGAAGAATGTTATGGGAAACAGTGTCAAAGATTTTGCTAAAATCGAGGTGAATAACATCTACAGTTCTACCCTCATCCACTAAATGGGGTCATTTTATCATAGAAGGAGACCAGGTTGGTCAAACAAGACCTGCCCTTCATAAATCCATGTTGACTGGGCCTCATCATCTGACTGTCTTGTACATGACGCGTGATAAAACTAAGGACGATCTGTTCCATGAGTTTAACTGTCACTGAGGTCAGACTGACAGGCCTGTAGTTCCCTGGGTCTTCCCTCTTACCTTTCTTGTAGATCGGTGTCACGTTTGCCAACCTCCAGTCAGCTGGTACCTCCCCTGTTAGCCAGGATTGTTGGTAAATGATGGAAAGTGACTTGGTGAGCACTTCCACCAGCTCCCTCAGAACTCTTGGGTGGATCTCATCCGGCCCCGCAGACTTCTGCACATTTAAGCTGTGCAGCAGCTCACTTACCGTTTCCTCTTGAAAGAAACTTTGATAAAGCTCTCCATCTCTGCCATTTGGTTCTAGAGGCATATCACCAATTGAGTTCATCTGACCACTAAAGACTGAAGCAAAGAAGGCATTGAGTACCTCAGCCTTTTTTTCATCTTCAGTTGCTATTTCTCCCCTTGCATTTAGCAAGGGGTGGAGATTCTCCCTAACCCTCCTTTTACTGTTAAGGTATTTGTAGAAACTTTTCTTATTGTCTTTTATGTTAGCTCTCAGATTAAGCTCCAGCGGGGCTTTTGCCTTTCTAATTTTCTCCCTGCACCAGCTGGGCTTTTGCCTTTCTAATTTTCTCCCGGTAACAACATTTAATATGCCCTGTATATGCTTGAATAATATTTGGTACATTATCGTACTGAGTATGACACAGAAGGTACTACTGAATAGAGCTACTTCATTACTCTTCCTAATATTACCAGAAAACATGTTTTCTGGACCTGGTTAGTAAATTGCAGCAAACTAACTTACTTATATATCAGTGAGGGATGATGAAGCTTGTTTTCCGTTGACATATCACTTATTTCTGAACGGAAAATTCTTCTGAGGCAGCCTGCAGCTCAGACTACACACATGTTACCAGGATTGCAGAGAAAGACCTTTAACAGTGCATCTGTCACGCTATTGATTTATGAGGGAACAATGTTGGACTAAATATGAATAAAAAGATATTCTTTCACACAACTCGGTACAGAAACATTGAAATTGTACCGAGAGAAACGACTGCCTTGCAATAAACAGGCTCATCCATCATTCAGTGTTAAATCTTAGTTGTTGCTTATTTCAATTTCTGTGTTTAAAGTGTTTCCAAATTATAAATAACTCTGAAACTCTAATAATATATACTCTGTTAAGGAAAAGGTAAGTACAGGAATAAATTATTAAAGTGATCTATTTAAATATTACCACATGATTTATCTGTGGATCTGGAGATCAAGACAGCCACTCTGTCATATTTGAAGAGATGTTGACAAGGACTCTATGGACAAATCATGCATCTTTATTGCAGAACTAGGCTTTGTGTATGCATATTTAGTTACAAAATTTTTACATGATCTTCACTGTAAGGGTTGATTTTTCTCCTTTTAAGGTCATTTGCAAAATGTCTTGACCTTAGTGAGAGTAAAATCCTATCCTGAGTACATACATCACCGCTCTGTTCTCCCCTTGATCTGAGCACTGAGCTGTGATTAACATTAAAGAGAGCAAGTCCAGCTGTAAGCATTTTCATGCCCTAAGCAACCATCAAGTATGAGACTCCTTCTTGTCATGTCTCTTCTTTTTCTCTTTCATCTCTCTTTTTTTATTATTATTTTTTTTTATTTAATTTGCTTGCAAGAGAATCTTTTGTGCCTTAAGGAGGGATGGGTTTGTGATTAAGGCATTTGATGGAGAGCCAGGTTCAATTTCCAGGCCTTCCATATAATAGCTACCCTTGGTAGGTCACTTAGTAAAGTGCCTTACAGAACTGCAGTGGAAATAATGAAATGGACCACAGACCATTCTCTGTTGGTGATGTCAACCAGCATGAAACAGCCGAAACACTGTGACTACATGGAAACTGTTTATTGGGAATGTTCTCCAGTCTCTGCTTGTCCGTGAACCATGCCTAGGCACTGTTTAGAAGAACACTAGTTGACCTGAGTCAAAACTATCCCAGGGAACATGTTAACAGTTAAATGGTATGACATGGACTTGATTGCTTTTCTATTACAGACACAGCCTTTATTTGCCACCCAGTGAGACATCACTTCTCCTGTGTTTCTAAACATTTGTCACAGCCCAAGTTTAGAGGTAAACCACCAAGGGTTTTCTCCCATCCTCTCATTGCCTGCATCAGGTGAGCAGGGCAGTTAAGGAAGGCAGGGAAGGTGGACTTCTGCAAGAGACCTTGGACCTGAAGGCCAAATGCTGAGTTCAGAAAAAAATAGCAGCAAGGACATAACACTATCACAGTGCTACAGCTGAAGGAATAGTAAAGAGAGTGCAACAAAAAAAAAAAAAAGAAAAGAAAAATTTAGTAAGGGAAGGCTGAAAGCAGCTGGAGACAGAGTGAATGAGAATACGTCAGACTTTGAGTTCAGAAGAGAAAGAGAACAGTATGACAAAAATGTCAGAAGTGGTCTCTGTCCTTGCAAAATGTAAAACATTATTGAGCAGTGATCAACATCAGATATATCACCCCATATCGCTATGGTCTTTGTGCAGAGCTGTCACAGCAGATGCTTAGCCTGTAATCAGTTATGAAGCAAATGGAACAAGGTGCTCTATGACGACACAAGACAAATATATATCTTACTTTCTACACCACCCAGCAATCCCTTAACAGTGCTCTTGAATGTTTTATTGATAAAAGTTTTGTAACAGCTCACACCTCCTTTTGCCTTTACTAATTCATTCCATCTCTTTTTTAGAGGTCCAGTGGAAAAACTTGTTGGCTTGTTCTTCAGAGGCTTGTGGGACAGCACTTCAAATTTGGCAATGGGTCAGAAGGACTGAAGAGCACTTTTGCTCCCACCAATGTTTCTTAGAGCTGCTAAAATAGGACCAATGAAGATGTTCACCAGACTCCAAGTCCTTGCGCTAGCTTTATTTTCCAAAGGAGTTTTCCTTTCCCTAAGTGACCACAGCTTTGTAAGGAAGGAAATTAAGATAGAAGGAGACCTGGTCTTAGGTGGATTATTCCCAATTAATGAAAAAGGCACCGGGATAGAAGAATGTGGTAGAATCAATGAAGACCGAGGCATCCAGCGCTTGGAGGCCATGCTGTTTGCCATTGATGAAATCAACAGAGACAACTACTTGCTGCCTGGAATTAAACTTGGAGTTCACATCCTGGACACATGTTCCAGAGATACATATGCCTTAGAACAGTCTTTGGAGTTTGTCAGAGCATCTTTGACTAAAGTGGATGAAACAGAATATATGTGCCCGGATGGTTCATATGCCATTCAAGAGAATTTACCATTACTCATCGCAGGAGTCATAGGCGGTTCCTACAGCAGCGTCTCCATACAGGTAAGGCACAGAAGCCCCATCAGGTGAGAATCATTCGTCTGCAATTCTTGTGAGACAACCACTGCTTACATAAGTTTGTCAAGAAAGCAAGTCTTAGCTCGGTCACTTTACCCTAGGGGTCAATCTAGCATATAATATTTGCTGAATTTATATTAGCTTGATTCACTCTTTAAAACACTTGTTGCAGTTTAAACCTCTGGCAGCTGTCCGCTTCCTCTAGTTATGATGTATCCTGAGGGCATCTGAAGTTTCCAGAAGTCTTAGTATTTATTTTGAACTTTGGATTTCATAAGACTTTTACAACTCTAATTTCAGATCTCTGCTTTCACATCAATAATAAATTATACCTCCTATATTTCTGAATATATGTGTGCCTGCCATGCTGCACATACTAACATTTGTTATTTAAACAATCAAGATTTAAAATGGAAGAAGAAATCTTCATCTTACTTCCAGGCAGAAATAAATAAAAATGGCATAATAGCCAGAAACTTTAATTACACCTGACCAAAAAATTGCAGGTTTTTAGTGTCTAATTAAGCACAGAAGCCAATGAAAATTATTCTGTTGACCTCAGTGAGTGAGGTCTCAAATATCCCATGCAGGCAGTACAACTTCTGAACGGATTCTAAATTTGCTCTTTCCTTTTGTTTCCCTATATAGTTCATATTAAGATAGTTTTTGCCAGGAAATGTTGCCAGGCAGAGTGCAATGTAAGCACTGTCAGAAGTCCAGCACGGAAGACAGATGTCCTCAGTATATCTCGCTCCCTCCTTCTGGCACATTGCAACTGCAGCCTTCGATTTCAGAACATTAGTCCCAGGCAGGGTCTCAGTAGGTTGTTGGAGAGTATTTAATGACTTGTAAAGGTGTAAAGTGGCAGGTGGGTTAAATGCTCCATATATCCTTCCAACTATGGTTTTATTGCATGCTTGATTTCAGTTGCAAGGGGCTAAACATAATGTTGAATCCTTTTGTCTTGCCTTCCATTTTTTATAAATTCATGATAAAACTTAAAGTCCTTGGCAATTTTTTTCATTAAATGAACATGAAAAACATATGCATCCTCTTTTTTATCAGAATTTCTGTATTTCTCCTCTCCAGAGTAGGTATTCCTACGGCAGTGCAGCCTCAGATGTTCTAAAGTTCCTGACCACTGCCACTGTGTACCATCCGTGAGCAAAAATATTGCCTAGCTTCACTGAAGCTGCCAAATCTACATATATCTCAATATTTTGGGCTAAATTAAATAAGTCAGTTCACATCACTCATAACCACAAGTGAGTGGTGTCTTAAGCCCAGATTCAGGTAGGTTAAGACCTTGCATCTAGTATTTCCTAATGGAAATAGCTGTAGATTTCCAAAGACACCAAGCCTTGGCAGTGCTGGACATGACTGAAACATGTCACTGGACTGCTACGAGCAATACGATTTTTCCAAACTGAGTACAAGCCCTAATTACTGCATCAGTGTCAAGAGAGAAAGATGTTCTTCTGTACTGTAGACCATCCATGTGTTTCTGTCACAATTACATTGCAGAACTGGCTCCTGCTCTTGTCAAGACATTAAATCTCATCAGCTTAGGAGCAAGGCCAGTTTCCATCAGACACACATGAGCACAGAAGAAGCATTTCAACACAATACATTTTATTCCCTTCTGTGTTCCAGTGTGTGGCTTGTCTGCATATTCATAGTAGGGAATACATGGGCAAACAGTTACCCGTACCACAGGCAAACAGCTTCTGCAGAGCAGAACCTCAGTCATCTCTTGCACTAGGAGTGGTTTTGTCCCACTGTGGACCAGCTAGGGTGGCAGGGATGTATCCTTCACCAGTTACATGGGTCTGATCACTTGGAACGCAGAAAACAAGTTCCAGGGCTGAAAAAGAGATATCTGAAGAGGAGAAATGATAACTACAAAACCGTGGCCAGCACAAACTGTTAAGAAAATCATTATTCATTGTCTCTTCCAATCAGACAAAGAGTACATCAAGTGAAACCAGCAAATGGTAGGTTGCTGTGAATGCTAAAAACTAAATGTGTTCAAGAAGTGACTAGAAAAAATCAGGAAATTCTCTACAGATACTACCTCTGTCTCAGCAATTCCCAGAGCTGCAAGTATCTCAAAGCTGGTAAAATATTCTGAAACATCATATGCTTGCCCTATTCCACTGGTAGAGAGGTGGCAGTGGTTTTGCTGTACCTTTGATCTAGTCATTTGTGGAGATTCTTCTTCCAGTTCACCCTAAATTCAGACATGACCAACGGACATGAAGTAGCCTAAAAGGCACATCCATAAAGTAGTTACAGCTGAGGAAATTGTACAGATACTTCCTTCCCTCTCAGAAACCCTGAAGCAGGAACACCACACTACTAAAATGACCTGGGGCCTCTTGCACAACTTCTGTTAATCTGTCCCTTTGAAGCCAGTTTGTGGTGATCAATGATGTAAGACTAAATCCATATCTGAAGCAGCAGATTGGATGCAGTACACACTGAATGTACATATACATAATATATACCAACATTTCAAATTCCAAAACCTTGGATGTGGAGCAGCTGTCACATGGAAATACAAAGTCCTGATAAGAAACATTCTTATTCAGTACATGTGAAAAATGGAAATATAGCTGTATGTGTATCTGTATGTTGCACAATTTTCAAGACTCATGAGAGATAATGAAATTAGTCATATCTAATATTGATCTATATAGCTTCGTTACAGTTGCCAATAGTTGTTCAAATGTAAGATCTTTCTCACATAGATCTTGAGAAAAATAAATAAATAGGTTCACAAATCGTTCAATGTGTCATCAAGCGTTTTCCAGCTAGAAAAGAAGCATTCAGTCAATTACTTTCCCTTGACACATATTGGGATGGCCTTCCTTCAGTCTCTCTTTTCCAGCTTTCCTCTAGATTTCAAATTATCTGGAAAAGACGCAATTAAGCCATTCATTCCTTCACTCATCTCATTAAGATAGCTAGTCATGAATTCTGTTTCAAAATAAAATCCCTGTCAAGAATGACAGACAATGAAGACTCAAGCCTGAAGGTGTAAGGACTTCAAAGCATTAAAGTCGAGCATTTTGGTGCCGTGCCAGAAGAGACGACCAAATTTCAGAGATGGCCAGCTGTACAGAGTAGCACCAGCAGCAACTGGAATCTCACCACTGCTGAACATCAAACTTCTTCGTCAGGCACGTGTGTGAGGCTGAGCACCCCCTTTCCCCATGCTTCCAAACAGCACTTGAGTGCTGGATGCTTCCAGATGTAGCCCTGTCAAGCATTTCTCTTTTGCCTGAGAGCTGCAAACATCGTAAAGTCCACAGCACAGTTTCTTAGCCTTAAAATAAACCATGCTGAGCTTTTCAGACAAGAAATTTATTATTTCTGCTTTTTTGTTTCCCTCCTGTGAATTTGCTGTTACATTTCAATACCTTTTCTTTCCCTCCTTTCACCCTCCCTCTCCAGATTTTTGTCTGGACAGCTGTCTGCCAAATCACTTCATGATGCTCCTGCTGTCAAATTTCTGCTTCTTTCATTATCCTTCCACCAAGGAAAAAAGAATTTGCTGGTAAATCAGCAATGAACACCCTCCCTACTGAGTCAGTATGTGCGATAGGCATTTTTGCAGAGAGTGAAAACAACGAGAGAATGCAGAATCCTTAATTATTTTCTGGTCAGACTAGGCTATTATCGTTAATGATGATCTGGATAATTAGTTTTTAGATGTTGTGTTTAAATTAGCAGTGAGCCCAATCTGCACAGCATTTGATCCCTCAAAACCCAAGCCAGGATTCTCAGTCAATGAATGAGCTCATATTAAAAAAAAAAAAAAAAAGAAAAAGAGATGTTTTCATGATATAAAGTTCTGACCTGAGCTGAATCTAGGATCAAACGGTGAATTCTCCAAAGTTTGGAGGACTTTATTTTGGGTTCACGGCTTCTCAGTTGAGCCAGATTATCCACTCTGTCCTAGTTTACAACAAGAATTTCAAACATATTTTCCTTGGAAATGTTCAATGGCGTTGTAAAATGGATAAGAAAAAAGCACTGTTCATTTGTACAGAGGAGCACCTGCATAGCTAATTCAAATGTCACCTTTAAAATACTCAGGTCAGCTCTGTCAGGAATATGCATGTGTAAGCAGGAATACAACCATTCAAGTGCTAGATTCGTCCATCCATTATCTTCTCTGTTTTTGAAAACTGGACCCATCTTCTGAAAATGAAGATTGGAGTCTATGGATGCCCCATTCCTTGAAATGTTCAAGGTCAGGTTGGATGAGGCTTTGAGCAACCTGGTGTAGTGGAAGGTGTCCCTGCCCATGGCAGGGGAGCTGCAACTAGATGGTCTTTAAGGTCCCTTCCAACCTAAACCGTTCTATGATTCGATGATTCCCTCTAGTCAGCTCTCTTACAAACATTAAGACATTTCCTTAGGTGGACTGGTTTTAGCATTTCCATATCCACTGTATTCAAGTTGATGCAGGGCTTTAACCCTGTGTAAAATTTCCTTTATGCTACCAACCCACAAGACTCCAGATCGCAGTCATGAAAGTTACTCCCAATTTAAAGCCTCATCCAGAAAAAATGGCAGAATAGAAACCTGTACCCTGCTGTCATCTCTTGAATTCCTTGCTGTGTCTCAAGTAAACTGTAGCAAAACCACTAGAGAAGGTTTAAAGGTACATTACTGCTATCAAGACAGCTAAAGCCTCTCTCCTAAGAGAGTGACCATCTGGCATGAAATTCAGAATATGTACTCATTTACTGGCAGTCTTTTCCTGGCTGTCATTTCTCCTTAGCCGCATAAGTCTGCCAAGGGCTCGTGGAGCCTGAAAGTTAATCACGTCCATTTCCTTCCTTCAAGGATAAACCATCTTCCAACCAGAGTCTTAACAATAGCTTGTGACTTCCATAACCACTGAAAATAGTGTGAAATCCTTAGAACTATGTGCAATAAAACCCCCAACCCGTAATATATGGGGCTCTGTCCCC